GCGTGCAAGCCCTTGTGGGGAGGGCAGAGGGCTGAGCTTCAGCCTGAGCCACAGCAGGCCATGAAGCAACAAGGACATCACTTTGTGCTTGCAGAGGGATATGTGGGCTCCGACCCATGATGTATGAGTATGAGTACCTGGATGATGTCGACAACACGACACGCGTCGTGGGAGGCGCAGATGCCAAGCCAGGGGCCTGGCCGTGGATTGTCAGCCTTAAGCATCCTGCAATACCAGGCACAAGACATCTCTGTGGAGGGTCTCTCATCACTGCAGAGTGGGTCCTCACAGCAGCCCACTGCTTTGACCCCATCAGGTAAAGAGATGCCAGAAATTGAAACATCTCCACAACACTAGCAGGTGCCCAGGCTGCAGCTCCACCTACTATTCCCATTCCCTTCCCTCTCAGGCAGCCCGGCTGCCACAGTGCTTCAGGAGAAGCCTGGGCTTGTGCCAAGGCTTCCTAGCACCTTCCAGCTTGACATTCCCTCAGCCTAAGGCATGAGAGGGCACTCATACCTGCCAGAGCATGGCTCTCTCTCTGCCTTGCCAAGCAGAGCTCTGGCCACTGCTGGGCTGCTGTGGCACATGGGTCTGCTTGCTCTCAGCCCTCTCTCCATCTGCTTTCCAGGAAATTTGGCATGGTGTATGTGGTGATTGGGGCCACCCAGTTGACTAAGCCAGGACCTGGAGCACAACTGCGCCGAATTAAGAAGTTAGTGCGCCATGAATCCTATAATAAAAATGACAAAAGTAACGACATTGCCTTGCTGCAACTGAGCAAGCCTGTTGAGTGCAACTCCTACACTCAGCTGGCCTGCGTGGCTGACCCCACCCTAAGACTGTCAGACCTGCAGAACTGCTGGGTGGCCGGCTGGGGTGCCGTCACTGCAAGAGGTGAGTTCCCAAGAGAGACTCGAGGGCCAGCTCAGCACACTGGGGACATGGCTTGGGCTTCCCAACAGCAGTGGCCAAAGCTATGCTGTGGGATGTACACCTCTGCAGAGACAGACCCGGCCTGCTCCCCAGAGACAGGCAGTAGGGACACAGTGCCTCAGTGCCTCTGCAGAGGGAAAGAGAAACCCTAGGGAAGGCATCACCACCCAAGAAATGGAGCAGAATTGGCAAGGTGCTACAGGGGGCTTATCCCTTTCTTTGCTCACAGCTCAAAACTCAAGTGATGTCCTACAGGAGGCTGAGGTTCAGCTCATTGATCTCCAGCTCTGCAACAGTAGCGGCTGGTATGCAGGGAAAATCCACACCCACAACTTGTGTGCTGGTTACCCAGAGGGCCTCATCGACACCTGCCAGGTAGGAGCATGCCATGAGCCACTCAGCCCCCAGCAGCACCAGCAGCC